TCTACAGCTCGGTATATGCATACATTCCATGATCCCGTGAAGCGTGTTGTGATCTAGTTAGCTAGTTGGGAACAGTGGCTATATACACGCCGCGTACTTCCTGGCAGCTTGGATCGCGCTAAATGGAAGTTCAAGTACTCGCCTACGGCGCCGTATGGAATCAACGAGTGTTTCCACGTGTGGAGCTTTACGGATTCGTTGATCGCTAGTATCGCTGTGTTGCAGTAGCTGCAGCTCCTGTTAACTTTATCTACTGCACAGGTATGATCATGCATCCCGTACATGGACAAAATTCAGACGTACAACAAAGGCTTCTCCGACATCATGTCTGCTTCATCGAAGTACAGATTCTATCCTAGTGCATTGCTGTTCATTCTGCTGTCGACACTGGAGCGGTCTGTGACTTTTGCTAAGTGCGTGGTCACGTTCAATGTAGTTTTGCGTGGCAGCATTGGCGACGACACCACTACGTATATGCTCAGCTCTGCATTGGCTTGGGTACGATCATCACTGGATTCTTCAACTTCTCTGTGGTCGTCGGCTGTGTCCGCTGCCGGTGGTCGTTTCAGCACGTTTTTTGTGTTACCAACGACGACTGCCGCTCGACATTGCTGATGCCTGGTATCGGTCTGCTTGGCAACCCGTGTGGTATTCCACGATCATGGCTGCCCGTCTACATCTTCGAGATCTCAAACAAAAACTGCGTGGTATAGCTATTTTGCTGCTGGGCTTTGGCTATTGGTAGTTCACTTGGGGACGTGGGATGTTTTCGTTATAATGAACTGGAATGGATTTGGCATGCGCTTGCTGGCTGCATTGTCATCGCGTTGGTCACCCCATAACATGTATTCAAGTTCCTCGTTGGTTTCGTCCTGATTCTCGGATCACATTTGACTACTGGTTTCCTGACCGTCTTCGTTACTACAAGGCTGCTAGTGGTACGCTGACAAAGACCGGATGTTTATGATTGCTATGGCTCTGCAGGTGTCGAGTGCTGCGATCACCATCCTTTATATCGACAAGCTGGAAAACAAGTCGCTTATGTTCGAAACATTTGTTGCTATCGCGATCTGAGCGGGTAGTACCAGCTCCGAATTTTCGTTGAAGTCCTAAATACATGTACCAGGCTGGTACATGCATTCAGGATTTCAGCAATAAAATTGGGCGGCTTGTCGACAAGGAAGACTCTCGAGGTAATGCGCATTTAAGTTTTTGCGGCCTATTAAGAGCTCCGCCACGTGATCGGCTTGTATCGTCTTGTTGCACACTCGTAGCTTTGACTCATACACTGCAATGCTATTCTCCACCTTTCTTTGGTGGATCTGTGCTTCTTTTACTTCGAAATACATGTATACACGCATAGCGAGCGAATATTTCTGCCTCGCGCTACCGCAGGCTTCAATGCAATCGCATTTAATGCTGTTGGTGGGCAAGGCTAAAGCTTAGCGCAACCGCGTTTGCTGCGCTCGAATGCGTGCCGAACGTGAAAGTCACAAGACATAAACTCCTGGAACTGCTCGTCATCGAGATCTTAGTCATGTGAGGTCCAAGTCGCACGCAGGTGGTCAGCAGGGGAGCGCTGTGCATGGCAGCCACTACCTGGTGTACTGCAGCGCGCCGCCGCTCGTACACGCACTTGTCGAGAGACAGCGAGTGCTACAGCTGTCCATATTGTCAAGAGCCGTCGGTTGATAGCAATGTATTAGTAGTAAAATAGCACCTGGTTCTAGTGTACTATCATGAAAATTACACTACGTAACTACTGTAGTATTTTATGTATTACTATAGCATTATTAATAGTAATGATCATTGTTGCTTGAGCTTTTATCCTACAACAATCGTTACTACTGTAAGTACGCCCAAATACTACATCTTTGCTTTATATATTACTTAGTGGTTTCCATTTTAGTAGGGTATGTACATTGTACTCAGCTCTTCTGTTTGGTGCAGAACGAGTCAAAGTCTCACTTGAAGATGCTATGGTCGTACTGTTGCCATTTTCTTCTTGACAACAGGATCCTCCTGGCCCTCCACAACTGCTGGAGTCGTCGCAGCTTTTGACGACTTGGCTTGCGGCTGCGGACTGATGAATCAGTGCCTGAGCTGCAAATAGATAGCGCTGCACCCGAGCGCTTCTCCAGGAGAATAATTTCAAGCTGCGTGTCTCGGGTTCTCGGAAGTAGGAATGAAATAGCAGCGAGAACTGTTCGCTTGGACTCAACAGTGTCCTGGTGGATCCGTAGAGACTCGTAGTTGAACGCGGTTATTGTGATCGTCTTACCATCCTAGTTGGCGAGCCTCTAGTCTTGCGTAGCAGGCGTCACCGCATCGCTGGGTATCGGTGCAGTAAGTCGAGAAACGCGTTGAGCTGCGGCGGGATGACTGCATCGGGAGCTTTACCGGGGTCCTCCCAGCGCGGATATCGCCGACGAAGTAGAGCTGGTGGATACTTGAATACCGCGCATATCCGCATCCCGGTAACCGCACATTTCAGAAGTCCGCATAGCTATTTGATTGGCGGGAGTTGCGATTGCCAGTGACCAGTACTATGCGGCAGGTGCATTAGCGCACTGACAAACTTCCGACGGGACAGTCGGGAAGTAACGGAGGAGTTCGACAGGCATCTTGGCAATCATTAACGGGGTGGTGTATGTTGGCATGATCGGCAGCGTGCCGTACAGCAGACACGACGACAGTAGTGCCATAACCGGCGAGACGTCTAGGAGTAGACAATAGGCTATTCCGACAGCGCGCCGTGCAGCGGTTACGACGACAGTAGAGACGACAATGGCGATGTCGCATCGGGAGTGACGATATTGCAACAGCGATCTTGTCGATTATAGTTTGTAGCACGAAGTCCTCCAAACCATGATGAGTAGCTGGCAAAATGAAAAATGAATATCAAAACTGCGCCGATCTGCGCGGCGTTCCGCGACCGCTATCTGCAACTTTAAATATTGGCGCGAAAAAGTTGAGCACGCTCATTGGTCGGCTAAGATTCCACCAATGATCATCATGAACCGCTTCGACCTCAACTTCAATTGGTTTGGACAAATTCGAAGTCCCAAGTTGAATCTCCACATCGTGGATC